TTAAAGGTAATTTTTACCTATGTGCTAGGATCGAGATTTAATAACAGAGATGGAAACCAACTGTTTAGAGAAGGCAAATTCAATAATAAATGTCAGTAAGGATTAATGAATAAGGCTATGGACCAGAAAGCACAAGCCTGTGTATACCAGTACAAAGAAATCTATTTGCAGCACAGTGGAGCACAGGTCACTTTGAAGTCATTAGCATACTGAATTACAAAATAGCTGCATCTAAGGCCCTTCAGTTGTCATAAGAACACATTTCCCAACCTATCACATTTTCCTCCTTCAAATCTGCTTATAAAGCTCACGTTTGCTTGCTTTCTATTAAGTCTTCTGTACAAGCAGGACCATCTACATTTCTTGTCATGTTTGTTTTACGTATCACTTCTCAAACAAGCTCTTTAGCAAGAAAGCTAAATATCCAAAATCCCAGCACACACTCCAAAACATGGAGACCAGAGATTTTTATAAAGTTTTACAAGTATGTGGGACTCTGTTTACCTATATGCCTCTACATCTTTCCTCACTGAGCTTGAATATGTTAACCTCTGGTCTGGATTATGAGGGGTGGGTAAGTGGCATAAAGTGAGCAGCAAGAATTGAATGCAGCTGTCCACGTATGAATGGAGCTACCCACAGTGGGGAAGACAATGAAAGGAAAGAAAAAAGTGGATTCCAGAAGCAAATGGCCTATGGGGCCAGTTCCACTTGCTTCACACTGATTTTGTCTTAAATTTGGCTTGCTCTTGTATATGCCACTTAGATGTTTTCGGAGGACTTCATGTGTAGCAATTACTTCCCTATAAAATTATCAACAGGAGTTTAAGCCTATTTGGACTTGCTGAAGAAGCCATGGAAGCAAAGCACAAGTGCTCTGTTCTAAAGCCCAATCTCTGAATTCAAGAAACTGCAAAACATCTAGTAGGTCAGGTTTAAAAAGAGTATGAGAGAATGCAGATAAAGTCTCAGACCAAAAAAACACTACACATGCTCAATGCCAACAGGTAACAAACAAGTGGTAAGTCTTTCCTAGTGAAGTTCTCCTTCCTTTACCAACTTTTTAGTCTCAGTTCTAACTAAACTAGATCCTAAGTCTCAAGATAAGCAGAGGATTTTTTTTTGGAGGGGGAGTTATTTGAACTTACAACTTAATTATATGATGTATCATTTTCCTATGTACATATAGAAAACATATTCACATTAAAATTTTGTACAGGTTTAATGCACTTAAATCATCCAAAAAACACAATAATGCCTTCAAAGTGTAAACACGACTATTGTTTAATTTTTTTTATATTGTGCAGGAGTCAAATGACAGAGATATCTCTGCACTGAACAAGCCCAAACTAAGCCCTGAACAGTTACCTGCATTTTATGGAAACAAGTGTGATTCAAGTTTGCAAGATGAACGGAACAGCAGCTCTGAACTGCAGGATAGCTATTCTAATAAATAACAATTAGCAGTCCTTCGATTTTATTATGCCAGGTTGGTTAACACTTTTTTTTTTAAATAGCATGCCATTTACATCGATTATAATGGCACTTCAGCAGTGCCTGCTACTAGCCAATTGACTGATGCTTATTCATACCCCTCAGCACGCTGGCTATGGATATTTATGAGCAATAGCTATGGCTGGGCGTCTGCTGCTTGTGAAATGCTATTGGCTCAATAATTATGTCATGGTTTCCACCTGTTCTTCAAAGTCACAGGATAGCTGCTGTTTTCCAACTATGCCAGCTTTATGGCAGCATTAGGACTATCAGACCATATTTGCTATTCCCACTCAAACATCCTCTTCATTATGGACCTACGGGTTGGCATAGGAAATTCTTAGGATACAGAAAAAAATCCTCTTTCAAGGTAATTTTCTACAGAGTTCTCACTGAGAAAAGCACTAGACAATACTAAATTGACATGACATACTATATTTGATTTTGGAAACACAAAAGCAAAATACATCTTCTTGCAGTCAGGCAGTGATATTCTCACTGCAAAGTGGCTGCAGGGATGGGGCTTCTTAATCCAAAACTTCTTACTCCATACATAAAAATTCATTCTCTTCCATCTGACTGTATCTATCTACTTATCTTTTGAATTTTCTCTCTTGCTCAGCTTTTCCTTCAAGCCAGCTAGAAACAATAGTTCTTAGTGCTCCTGCCCTGCTGCAGGAGCAGTGCTGCAACTCTAGCTTTTTCTGGTTCCAGCTGCGCAAACTCAGATGGACTGCTTTCTCCTACCAGTGTTTTCTCTACGTCCTTCTCAAAGATGCCACATTGCAACATGGTGTTTTATCAAACTCCCCAAACTGCAAACAGTACTCACAATCTGGTAGCAGGTTTGAGAGCCCTCACGGTTTTGGTGTGAAACACTCTCACAGAAAGAAATACTGCCAAGCAAAAGAAATTATCCTTTATGCAACATTGTCCTCTCAGAACAAAGCACTTGATACCTACCAATCTAATCTATATGCTTACAAGCATCTCAAGATGCCATTTTCACTTTAAGACAGTCCTCAGCAGTAACACATTCCTCCAAAACAAAGTGTACAGACCTCCAATACTCTGTTAGAAGAGCACAAAGGCTGCAACATCATGTTTTAAACCTATCCTGTACTGAGTCCACCAAAATACAACAGAGAAAGCAAAACCATTGCAGAACCAGAGGCAACTAAAAGGTTAGGAGGTTCACAAATTGCAGATTTGTCCTTTCCAAGCCACAAAATCCTCAAGGGAACAGAATCAAATTTTTATTTTCTCTTGGGATAAGTAAATCTAAAAATAGTTTCTGACAAGGGGAAAGCTACAGAGCTAGTGACTGGCAGTTACCCACGTTTTGCCTTAGGCACTAGTGCAAGGAAAGCAGAGTGAGAGTGAGTGTGAGCACAGATGGTCGGGGCAGAACCATAATACATGGATTGTTGAATAACATGTGGATGATTCCCACAAAGATCTGCAGTGTTCACCAGCAAATAATGTAAAAGAAAATGAATGAGAGAAGAGCTAAGGGTTCAAACATACAAAATGTTCCCTGCTTAATCCTATGTGGGACTGTGTTCTGCTAGCCTACATGCTATTTTTAAAATTAGGCACTGCAAAAGCTTCCTTGTTTTGACTTCACTGGCTGGAAAAATAGAGATGTTTTAGAGCTTCCTCATAGATGTGCACTACAAGAAAAGAAAGTTGAAAAAAAATCCCAATTTGCTCTCCAGTGCATCTGGATTTTTTAACTGCTCTGTTAATGTAGTGAAAAAAAGTTTTTCATAACATTAAATGATGATTGAGAGAAATTTGTATCTTTCAAGACTTACATATACAATGTAATGTTCTGCCCCTTTTGTTTTAAGGAGTGCTATGCTCTGGCCAGCAGTATTATCTCTCTCATTTCAGCTTAGGTTGAAAGCAGTTAAAAACAGGGAGGTACAAGGCCCAACTAAAGGAAGGAAAGCCACAAATTGCAATGGATAGTGCAATAAGAAACTGCACAGCCAGTTTTGAATTCCTGGGGGGAAAAATGTGGTGAGCACTTTAAAAATACGAAAAATACTGTATTTTCCAGGCTCTGAACTTCCACAGAATGCAAGCAGTGGACTGTAAGTCACCTGTGGTCTACATTCCCGTTCTACCAATTCTTGTTCTACCAAGAACTAGCCAATTATAATAGATTTGAATTTTTGTGCTTTAGTGGGATACAAGTGACAATATATTTTCTAATACCAGGAAAATGTGACATTGTATATAAATTACTAGACAGTTCCAGATATTAGTTTTACACAAACACGATTTTTTCAGCAGAGGAACTGCAGTGTTATTAAAATACCAGTGATACCAGATCTTGTTAGCTCTTGCAAAACACTATCTATTTCACAGCCTACAAACGACTTCTTTTCACAACCAAAATTTTTATATAACCAAACGTTTGGGGGTTTTATGTGATTTTGTAGTCCCAAATAAATGTTGGACTATTTTTCATGCAAGTGCAACTCTGAAGTCTTCCAGTCTTATCATATAATACTAGAGATACCAGTACTCACAGCTGTCTTGCTAGTGGTGAACATTGAGACTCCTTATAGGAAATAAGAAGTATGTACTTTAAACAGACTTTCCAGCCTGTGAATTAACTTCAGAAAAAGGGTTAGTACAAGGATATTTTCATTTCAGAAACTACAGTATCTAAGGAATGTTTTAGCATAAAGCTTGACAACACACTGCTAAAACTTTTTGATGGTTAATTAATTAGCCAATATTTTACACTAATTCACTGAAATGCAAGACAATCTACTGGTGTATTGATTGCACTTATTTTATAGTGCAGCTCTTCTTGTGGTGGTATCTCCATTAGCATTGTAAAACTACCTGGAATAGATGGAATTATGTTATTGAAAAACTTTCATAAAAAGATGAAACACATTGAACAATTCAGATACAATGTAAAACAACTTCCCTTTATTCGCATTTCCTGATCTTGGTCTTCATTGTACAAATAATCTGCTGTGCAAAATAGTTTATAAAATACTAAAAAAGCTTTTATTGTAAAAAAATAAAGTTTCTAGATATACAGTTACTTTGCAATATTACAAATACTGTCCAGTATTTAACATTTAAATTTAATATCACAATACTCAAGTCATGTAAACCAATGATCCTACTGGTAAGAAAGCCACTACTGAAACTCAGGTTCACTAGGGATTTGTTAAATATTTTCCTCTTTTATACAACCCTTATACAACTCTAATGACCCATACGTGAATTGCACCCATATAATGAAATTAGACATTGGGCCATCCCTTCCTCTATTATCAGGTAAAAAATACCAAGTTAAATGGTAAATTTAGTAAATGGTAAATTTTAGTAAGTCCTGGCAACACGAGCTACACAGTGCAGTCACAGAACAACAAAGGTCCTTGAAACTAGATTTGAACTTTACTGAGAAGCAGTGTAAAGGCAGCCTACACTGGGTTCTGGGCATGCATATCTTGATTTCTACCAGTATCCAAGCTAGTTGGCTTAAAACCTAGCTCTGATCTCTCTATGCTGCAGTGCAATCGCAATCACTTTAGCATGAAATGCCTCTAAGAAGTTTTGATACAGTCACCTGAGCCCTCATTGTTCCAATTCGCTTTCATTCTGCAAGGTCTTCATAGCTAAGCCCCAGAGGGTCATGCTGGAGAAGAACGGTCCTTCATTATTCTTGTATGCAGCAGATGATGTTCGACTGCCCAGTGGATCATTACAATGACTGTCCAAGCTAACCATAGAGGAACGAATCATGGGAATATTATCAGACTGTAAGGGTTCTTCTGCAGAAGATACATCTACATCTCCGTAAGCATATGGTGGTGGTGTTTGTTGCGCCTGAGCTTTTGGGAGTTTAGCAGAATCCATATTCAGTTTCTGTTGGTTTGCTGAGTCATGGTGTTGAATCATTGATCGCAACTTACAGTAAGAATCCGCAGAACTATCAAATTCAGTTGAATTTGCAGTTGGACGAATGGGAAATTTAACGGATGCTGGTAACAATGTAACAGACATTTCCTGGCCAAAAGAGTCAGAGCTCTGAGATTTGTCAAGATCAGAAGTTTCAATCCCTTGAGTAAATTCATCTAGTGTGTTTGGACCTTCATCAGTGACTTTACAATGCATTTTCTTGTGCCGCCGCAGAACAGCAGAGCGAGTGAAGCATTTGTTACAAGTTTCACAGGTATAGGGTTTTTCTCCTGTATGAGTCCTCACATGTCTACGCAGGTCACCAGAGCCTGCAAAAAGAAGTGATATATTAAGATTTTGTTCTTAACACAAGTGCATAAACATGTTTTAATTAGAGAAAATATCAAGTGTTAAGGTATGGTATGTCCCAATCGTGGTACTTTGTTTATCTAGAACAAGTTCGAACAAGTTCCATCTATCTTTACAATTCAATGACTTGTTTCTTCTTCTTGATCTGATTTTCTAACTTGTGTTTCCCAGTGCTTTAGTTTTTGTCTCCAGAGACAGGAATATCCATTCATATTGAAAGCTGTGAGTGCCCGCAGTTTGTATCAATCTTCGTGGAGAAAAAAAAATTTTAAATAATCAATTTAATTCATCTGTCTGGAAAAACAGTGTGCTGTTAAGCTTCTAAATATATTCTTCCAGTGAGAACTGCATCACAGAAAGTAATGGTTTGTTCATTACCAAGGAACTATTCTTAAAGTGCTGACAAAGTTAGCTTTTTTTGTTAACTTTGAGCTAACGTAATGCAGCAATCCATTTTTTATATTCTAGCCAGAGAACATGTCAAAACTGTAATGTTTTATTGCTGTAAATATTAGAATACAATAAAATATTCAACTGTTTGCCTATTTTCGGAACCACAGGCTCAAATAAGCTCAATTAACACACTGCAAAGAAAAAAGTGTCTGAAGTTGAATCAAGGCAAAGTGTAGAAGAAGAAGCAGAACAAGAGAGCATTCATTTGCAAAATTGTTACATGATTCAGACACCTCACATTCTTTAGGATAGTAGAAATAAGCTGGTACCTATTTGTGATTTTATCTCATTTTACCTAGGTTAAAGATTATTTTATTTTGTGTGGACAGATACCAACTAAAATGAACTGTGTTATCCGAAAGCCCAGTAAAACTGCAGTCTCAATTTTTGGCATCATACTTTTCATTCTACTGCCCAAATTTCTCTTCAGAAAAGCCATTAAACAGTAACAGTAAAATTACAAATTAGTGGAATAATACATGCGGATTTTTTGCATAATGTGAATGATTTCTTAACGATCGATCAGATCCTCTTTGCACAATTTTTACCTTCTCAGTACAAGATGACCTGGCTAAAATTAAAAATAATCAAAAGACCACAAGACAAGATGAAAATAAGCCTATTTTAATGACAGCAACACGACTGTTTGTTTATACTTTCATATCCTGCATGTCTGTATGTCCTCCCTCTGATGCAAGACCTCCTGATAATTTTAGCTTTTCTTGTGCCTCAAGACATTATAAATAAACCATACTGCAGTTGGACATCATCATATGGAGCTACCCTCCTCCAAAGCTGATTCCTCAGAACTTGAATGAAATTATACCAAAATAGCACTTAAGGGCAGAAAAGTAAGTAGTACGCAGGATGCTAAGTAACATATGAGATAAGGGTAGACAATGCAATTTCTGAGAACTATGTTATACAAGGATGAATCACTGATCAAAGAGCAATTTTCAGACCACCTGGAAGTATGACCTACCTAGCAGATTCTGAAAACGGGTTCTCTGGTATGAAGCACTGATCAAGTTTTGATTGTATTCCAGACGTTGAAGCAAAGTAGCAAAGGTTGTTATTATCAACTCTGTGACTGAATGCAGCTAAATGCTGTCCTGGTTTCAGCTGGGATAGAGTTAAATTGCTTCCTAGTGCTGTGTTTTGGATTTAGTATAAGAATACTGATAACACACTGACGTTTTTAGTTGTTGCTAAGTACCGTGCTAGTCAAGGACTTTCAGCTTCCATGCACTGCCAAGTGCAGAAGAGGCTGGGAGGGA